CCCCTGCGCCCCCCCCCCAGTTTGAAGGGAACAGGCCAGATAAAACGGCAAGGCAGGGCAGATGTGGCCCATGGGCCATAGTTTGGAGACCCCTGCTCTAGAGGAAAAAAAACCAAGATTCTATGGAGGTATTTCCCCACCACAACTGTTATAACAGTCTTACCTAGCACACATCCAGCACTCTCCCAACACTCCACCCATTCAGTCCATTACATGAACAATTAACTTACCGATACATACTTTCTCTGAAATCAACAACAAAGAAGTGGGGACTAAAATCATCACAGAATACCATTTGTGAGAACCGGTATTTGCCTTCTTGCAAAGCCCTTCAAAAAGTTGCTGAGGAAGGGAGCCTCTCTGTAACAGCCCAGGAAATTGTATGTGGGCTTTTGGAAGAAAGTAGGATGAGCATACATTGCTCACTCTGGCCTCTATTGGATGCCAGTGTCTTATACAGAACAGAAGTCTTATACATGACTTCTTGTTTGTCTTGGTTTCCTAATCCTTGCATTTATTAGTAAACTAACATTCCATGCATTCACCCCGATTCAAAGAAGGCTAATTGTACTAAACCTAGTACATGAGAATGAACGGAGCACCAATAAGCCACAATGAACTACTTCTATTGGTTTGCTTGGTGGCACAAGCTTTCTGGACAAAAAACCACTTTGTGGAACTTCATTTTTACTGGATAAATGCCCATTGCGTTGGGCAAGCCTTTGCATTACACAGCCTTTGGGCCTTGTTATTTACAAGCTGAGAAAAATACCTCTAGCCATCTAGAGATGCTCACATGCTTACACAGAGACATTCTTTTGTAAACCAAATGTTATAAATTGCAAGGATTCTGAGTAGGTGCACAATATAGGAATAGTACATTGCACGGTAAAAAGAAATACACAAAGGTTATGAGGCTGCTACAGTTCTGTGATGCTACCTGGATCATGTGGATGAAGTTCAATTTCTTCATCTCTTTGCTTGCCTTCATTCGACTTTCATACTCCAGCGAAGTCTCCTGGTGCCAAGTAAACGTTATGTTCTCAAGACCCGATGTCTTCGCCACATGTTCTAAAATATGATACCTTCACAGTTTATCTCAATTGCAAATAAAGGACAGATTTCCATTTCAAATTTTAAAGCAGCTGAAATCTATCTATCAAATAGATTGTATATGCGTGTGTTATATATAACAGATGTGTTACACAGCTGTGTCATTGGTGAGATCAATCCTGAATGATTAGCTGCCTCCTTTCATTCTTGACAGATCCACCCAATTTTATTGATCAAAACCAAGCTGGGAAGGAAACAGTTTGTGCTGTGTGTGTCACATGGCTCCCCAAATCTGTCTCAGACTCTCCAATGTTTTTCGAGTGGGAAAATATGCATTTAGTTTATGTCAAAAATTAGGATTTCAAAGATAGGTTTTAGACACATTACAAAAGGAGGGCAGCAATTTATCACATTGACAGAAGAAATGCTTTATTAAAATGTCAGGTTAGATCTATACATAATGGTCACCACTCAGACAAAGTGAAGTATTTTAAAGTCCTGTCAGTTGCAATAGTTGCTAAAGCATTGACAGAACTGATCTTATATACAGCAACTTTAATTTTGTTCCAACTGTAGCCCTATTCAGGCATTGTATCAGCATTTGGCTGAATATCAAGAAAAACTTCCTAACTGTTAGAGCGGTGTGACAATGGAATCAATTATCTTGCGAGGTGGTGAGCGCTCCAACACTTGAGGCATTAAAGAAAAGCCTAGACAATCACCTGGCAGATATCCTTTGGTTTGTATTCCTGCACTGAGCAGGGGGTTGGACCTTATAGGCCCCTTCCAACTTCACTATTCTGTGAAATGTTCTGAGCAGGGCTAACCCCTGGTTCCACTGGCACTTTTCACATATGATCAACAAAGAGTTTGTAGAAGAGAGGTTCCGGCTCTCCTTCAAGGTCCTGCATTCAAGCAAAACCCTGGTTTTTCAGGGTTCTCACTCATGCACACAACCTGCTTGCAAACACCGATCGTTTCCTCCAGAGACATGGCCCTGGGGCCATGAGCAAAACAAAGACAAAGGAGGTAGGGCAGGGCGCTGTCCTCTATGTTCAGAATGCCAGCAAATATAAGACCTGAACCTTAGTAGCTGGATGTTCCTTGGGCTCACAAAGCACTCAAAATATTCTGCTTTGTTATAGTGCCAATGGCCCTGGGGCCATGAGCAAAACAAAGACAAAGGAGGTAGGGCAGGGCGCTGTCCTCTAACCATGTTCAGAATGCCAGCAAATATAAGACCTGAACCTTAGTAGCTGGATGTTCCTTGGGCTCACAAAGCACTCAAAATATTCTGCTTTGTTATAGTGCCAAGCTAAAAGAATACATCAATGTGTTCCTCCTTGTTTCAGCGCTCCACTCAGGATGTATCCCAATGAAAGGAAATGAGGCACATCTCACCTGGACTTATCTCCAGACCTTTGCATTCCCCGTTAGATGTAGGCTCCTGCTTCTGAATGCTGAAGCTGTTACTTACTCCTCTTCCATTTATCAGTCTCTAGCCTCTATGACCCCAGTTCAAATCTAATTTGCTATTTGAAACTCAGACATCATTGAGCAGTAATCCATATCAGCATGGAAAATAATCTGGCCCAGTCTCCTTCTAGTTAATCACTAGACAGTCTGGGAAATGAAGGATACATCAGGAAAACGGAGAGCAGCAAAGGAAAGCTAATGCTTGTCAGTGTGGCTGCTCTGTGTCAAGAATCAGAAACAGGCGAACTACCAAGGCAGCTTTAAAAGCCCACAAGGCAGTATATCTCAGTCTCGCTTGCCTGTTTATTTAAATGGAAATATACTTTGTAGGCAGCAGAACACACTTCTGCTGTGAATTCGCATGGAAAATTCATGCTGTATTAAGATGGTTATTTAAATGGAAATATACTTTGTAGGCAACAGAACACACTTCTGCTGTGAATTCACATGGAAAATTCATGCTCTATGAAATGGATACACACATACATACATACATGAGTTACCTATACGGACACAAATGCAGACAATCATGAGTGCATGAGTGTGATTTTTAGTACATACATACATACATACATACATGAATTACCTATATGGACACAAATGCAGACAATCTTGAGTGCATGAGTGTACTGACCTGAGTGTGTTTATTGCCACATAAGAAATCTGAGTCTAAATCCAGTAGCAAGTCCTGTCTAAAGTAAACCCACTGTATCAATTGCTTAATGTTAAGTCACCACTAATGTTAGTACAATCGAATCAGCAGGTTTACTCTAGTCAAGACAAGCAATAGGATTTAACTGATAATAGCCAGACTGCTACTGATGTTTCCATAAAGTCTGTGTAATTTGTTGTGGCTATTTGACAGGTGACCGAACATGCCCAGGTCACATGCCTGATGGCACAACCAAGACATGCCCCAGTATCTCTTAAATTAGCTGCAATTCATCCCAGCAAATTACACATGATTTATGCAAACTTCAATCAGATTTAGGTGGCAATATTTGGGGAGTAGCCCTCTGTGCCAGGATGATTTCAGACGTACCTTTCAAAACAAACACCTTTGGTTGCATAAATGCTTCACTTCTGTTTTTATTGCCATGTCAGAAGGGATTAAGCTTCTCTGCAGAGAATAATAGGGCAGCAATTTCCTTACAATGGAATTGTGGGAAATGACTCCTCCCTAGAAACTTCATGTCACTAGCCCTTTTCAAGAGAACAACCATTTGAGACAGCCAAAAAAAGCAAATGATCTGACAAGCCCTCTTGCTTCAGCTTTTTTAAAAGGATTTTTTTAAAAAGGCAGCAACACTAATTGCAAGAAAATGTTCCCTGCCATGTTGGCTCTACCTTGGTAGCACCTTATTTGTTCCCCATTTGGTTCTATCACTTCGTTATGAATGGCAGCTGTAGGATATGTGGCCCGAATTTGCTTGAGAATTTGTAGATCTATTTCTCCTAGGAGAGAAATACAAGAAAACACAGTTGAGAGCATTAATAATATTTGGGGAGGAATTTGCATACAATGCTTCCCTTATCAATATATTTGAGGTTCTTTTCCAAATGATGGACAAAATCCTGTTGCATAACTTTTTGCTGTAAATCTGTAACCTGGATTAGACACGGAAATGTTTGATTTACATTAATTAAAAATTTCCTACCTCTGTTTTAATTTCTGAGGCTCTCTTGAATTTTTGCCCTCGGGCGGCCTTTAGGCACCTCGGCATGGTAGCGGAAGAGCCTTTAAAAATCAAAAATAGACACCCGATCACCACTGTCAATCTGGTGTCAATTTTTTTAAAAATTTTTTTAAAGCCTTTTAAAACCTCTCCCTGCAAAGTTAAGCAACAGGACTTTGCCTAATATGTGTCTCACCAGTTCCTGAAAGGAGATGCCACACCATTCCTTTGTTATACCCCACCTTGCCCTACTGGCCCTCATTCCATGTACAGTCAGGCACAGGAAGTTATTATATAATACAATTAGAAAGAGTGTCTGAGAAAACGTATTTCTTTCTACCTAGCAAAGCTTCTGGGAAAATGCGTCTCCCATCCATGGTCTATGGTACAGTTTGAGGGATCACTGATGAGATCAAACGCACAACTTGGAAAAGGGGGATGGGCACGTTCCTCCCCAGCAAGAAAATCCATCTGGAAATCTGTTTATTCCCCTGCATTTCCCTTGACGATAAAAAGGCAGTGCTGAAGACAGCAACACAATTACAATTAAATAAGGACAGATACAACAGATACAAATTGAATAAAACTGCTGCAAAAATATTACTGCCTCAATGGGAAGGTCTTCATTATTCAGTGAAATATCATGAGATACAATGACTTTGGTTCACAGTGAGCCCCATTTGGAAGCTGCTGTGCTCTTTGGGTCCAAAAATGTCATTTATTGCACAGTACATCTTCTGGTAGAGGAAGGCGTGGATAACTTCCTGCCACTTTCTAGGGTGCTCTTGTTGTGAGCCCCATTTGGAAGCTGCTGTGCTCTCTGGGTCCAAAAATGTCATTTATTGTACATCTTCTGGTAGAGGAAGGTGTGGATAACTTCCTGTCACTTTCTAGAGTGCTCTTGTTGTTGTTTAGTCCTTTAGTTGTGTCCGACTCTTCGTGACCCCATGGACCAGAGCAAGCCAGGCCCTCCTGTCTTCCACTGCCTCCCGGAGTTGGATCAAATTCATGTTGGTGGCTTCAATGACACCATCCAACCATCTCGTCCTCTGTCATCCCCTTCTCCTCTTGCCTTCACACTTTC